TTTCTTATATATAATCTTATAATTTTCTGGCTTATTTAACTTGAATGCTAGTGTATATTGTATTTTTTTTGTGTGTAGAAAATGGTGTTTTGACATACTCCACATGTAAATAAAATTAATTTCTCCAACATATTTAGATGTACAAAAAAAATTGAATTTATATACATTCTTAGGTAGTGATTGTGGATTTCTCTCGGTCACTTAAAAATAAATAAAAATAAAAATAAAAATAAAAACATTTTTCAACGTATAGCCGGCATGTGAGAAAAGATTTTTTTTATTGCGGCTAGCTAGAATTTCTCTTCGAGCCTAACAATTAAAAGAATCATAAACTATTAGTCTAAACAGAATTTTACGGGTTTGTGTCCCATTAGAGGATGTTGGTAAATTCTTAAAGTGAGAGGACTTCTTGTGTGCACTAAACAAATATCTAGTTTATGTGTTCAATTGGATTACCGTAATTTACATCCTCTAAATATTCTATCAGGACAGAGTGTAGGAAGTCCTTGGGGTTGCGAATTCAACCTTTTTGGAAGAAAAATGTTGGCAAGTTCTAAGATGAGCACATCTTTTTATATGTTCTTCGATCGGAAAAATGCGAAGATTTTTTATTTTTTTATTTTTTTAATGGAGCAAATGATCTTCTAAACCTGCACTGAAATTAAGTAAAGAAATTTTATTTCGTTAATTCCTCTTCCTATTCTTTTTCTTTCTTTCCTCTCCCACTTCTAGTTTAGTTTTTACATATGAAAAATTGGGCATAAATTGACATATGAGAGGCTATTTTAAGGCATTATTTTGAGTTGAATCTTTTACCAACTTATAGATCAAGTCAAAGTAAATTTATGTTTTTCTATGTGAAGAGATGAATTTCATATTTTATGTACTCAAAATAGATAATAAGTTGTGAACAATCATGTAGTGTGATGTCATTTCGATTATAATAATTTTAGCCTTCAAAGTGGCACATTTATTATAATAATTTTAAATTTAAAAATTATTTATTGATTGTAGCAAAAAATGAGTAATGATGAATGTACGGGTGTGAAATATCGTCCCAGGGGATTGGGGGTTATCAACAAGAAGCTAAGCAAAAAACAAGTTTTAAGGCAACGATAATTAAACGAGATAGCACAAACACATATTAACGAGATAAAAACATGAAATAAAGAAATAAGCCTCAAACTATGGAGCATTATATTCTAGATGCTTCAACAACCTATGTGATTAGGAGGAACAAACAACCAAGGGATCAAGTAGGAATGCACGTAGGTATCATAGTCTACGAACCACTCTCGTGATTAATAAACAAGGATTATAACAATGAATTGCCACACTCTCGTGACGTATCAATTCCAAGTCCATCAAGCAAACAAAGCATCTAAAGCCCCAAATTTTCCCTATTTTCGTAGGAAGAAATCAGGTCTATGGATGCAAGGGGTGGCCGACTCAAATCCATAACCCAACTTTAATTGAGGCAAGGAATTCTCCAAAAACATGTTAATGAATGTGTACACCAAACATTAACGAGATATGAACCATAATTTGGAGATCTACCCATATGCAATAATCACAAACAAAGCATCAATAAATATAATACCATCCTAGCTCGATCAAGTCCAAAAGCTATCTACTCACATATTATAAACATAAATAAAGGAAGAACATAAGTGAAAATCATAAACATTGCATAAGAAGATAAAAGAAGGGAAAGAAATGCCTCTCTATTGAGATGATGGTAGAATCTTGAAATCCATCATTCAATACAAGCTTCAAATATGAATAAGAACCTAAATATACACCTAATCTAACCCTAAAATATGAAATGAAAGAGTAAAAAATAGCTAGGGTTCGAGTATGGGTCGAAACCATGGAGAATTGAGTGAAAACTAAGTTAAATAGGAGCAGGGACGGGCTGAAAATGTGCATATCTGGAGGGCTCGACGCGTTGCGCATTTAAAGAATGCAAAATGAAGGTTTCTGCCAATATAATTCTCGACGCGTCGAGAGCCTCTATGCAACAAAACTCCGATTTCTAGGCTGAGTTTGACCCATTTTTCTTCAGAATTAGGCTCTGCGATCTTCATGAAAGTTGTAGACCTTCCAGTCTTCTTTTCAATTGTGATTTTTAGAAACTATAGCTTAATATTATATTTAAAGGCTTTGTTACACAAAAGGTTTCGTGGTGTAGTTGGTTATCACGTCAGTCTAACACACTGAAGGTCTCCGGTTCGAGCCCGGGCGAAGCCAAATCTGTTTTTCACATGCCTTATTTTTCAAGCATTTGCAGAACAGAAAACGATATTTAGGCAAGGTGAACTCCAGTTCACCGTATAACAACTGTAAAAGGTGTTATTGGGCCGCTCTCTATCTTATTTTGGAGGCCCAACTTTCAACTTGCAGTAGGGTTTTGATATATACACCATCCGCCATGTTCGCCTTTCCTTCAGAGTTCAGACGCAGCTCTGAAAGCTAATATTGTAGCGGTCTCTCTTTCGCAGCTCCAATGGTGAAATGCGCCTTTACATTTAAAAAAAAAAAATTATATGTATACATTTGCATAAATATTTTGAAATGTCTAAGTAAAATTATCGCAGAGTATGATTTACAGGAGTTTTACGTATTATTTTTTTTTTATATAAATTAAATTCTTTGAATTTTCTAGGCCTTTGTCAAGCTTCAGAAGACGAGGGCATACTTCAAGAGGTTTCAGGTTCAGTTCAAGAGAAGAAGAGGCAAGTTTTTTATCGACTGTACTTTTAGAATACTTGAAATTTGGCCTTTCGCAAATTCAGTGGTGTTATCCTTTTGCTCAAGTGTTTTTCTTGCAAAATTTTGCAGATGGGAAGACTGATTACCGTGCCCGTGTTCGACTTATTAACCAAGATAAGAACAAGTACAACACTCCCAAGTATCGTTTTGTTGTGCGATTTGTATCCTTATTTATTATGCATTTCTTTTTATCAAATTAGTTATTGCACACAATTAGCTAGTTTATGTGAATCTCCATATGATGCTAGTCAAATCGTAGTTGTGACTACCTTGGATTGTGTTGTAAGCATATAACCATTAATGTTCAATTCAACTATCAGCTTAGGCTTTGAGTTGAGATGGAGCACATGCTTGGTATCTGAATTAAAAATTTGCTATTGGTTCAGATTCGTGTGTGTGTTTGTTTGAACCTTAATCTGTATCTCAGACCAACAAAGATATTGTTGCACAAATAGTGTCTGCCAGCATTGCTGGTGATATCATCCTTGCTGCAGCATACTCTCATGAATTGCCTCGATATGGGCTTGAAGTAGGTCTGACGAATTATGCAGCAGGTAATAAAAAGGAACCATTTATACAATTTGTTTGTGTTGTCTTGTAATCGAACAGGTGCAGTCCTACAAACTGATTTTGATTGTGGTTTATGTTAATAGCCTACTGCACTGGGCTTCTTTTAGCACGGCGGGTCTTGAAAACGCTTGAGATGGATGATGATTATGAAGGCAATGTGGAGGTACTCTTCAAGCATTGAAGTGTTATTATGATTCTGATGTTCCTTCCCGAGTTTAGTATAAATAACACTGTTAATATTCTTGTGTTTAGGCTACCGGTGAGGACTTTTCTGTTGAGCCAGGTGAGAGCAGAAGACCCTTCCGTGCTCTCCTTGATGTTGGTCTAATCAGAACAACAACTGGAAACCGTGTTTTTGGTGCACTTAAGGTTTGTCTACCTTTAGAACTGTTTGGCATCTAATTGTGAATTGCATAAATGGAAAGCGGCTACATTTAATTGTTTGAGGGGTTTTAAAAAAAAATATTTTTACTATTGTGGGTTGTTTTTTCATCAAATGTGGATAGTCTTAACAACAATAGTCCAGCTCATTGTACTTTAAAATTGAAAACTTCTAAATATTCGTAAGACATTCAAAATCTGCTCTTCAAAAAAGTCCTTTTGCCAGATCTTTCTCCCTCTGTTGACTTCTTCTCTAATCTACTCCCTTCTTATTACAGGGAGCATTGGATGGTGGTCTTGATATTCCTCACAGTGACAAGAGATTTGCTGGATTCTCAAAAGACTCCAAGCAGCTCGATGCTGAGCTTCATCGGAAATACATTTATGGTGGCCATGTTGCTGGATATATGAAGGTCAGTATTAAAGTTTTAAGCTCACAGGCGTGACTTGAACTCATACTGTGATAATGTAAGAGCAAGCTAGCTAGAAAGTATAAAATTTCTTTGTTCTAGACATTGATGGAAGATGAGCCAGAGAAGTATCAGTCACACTTCAGCGAATATGTCAAGAAAGGTATCGAGGCAGATAACATAGAGGAGGTTTATAAGAAAGTCCATGCTGCCATTCGTGCTGATCCAACAGCTAAGAAGTCAGATAAGCCGCAGCCTAAGGAGCACAAGAGGTATAGAAACAATAGTATACATCTTCTATTTACTCATTCTAGAGGAGGAGATCGTGTTTTAAAATGTGTTTTTGGAATACAATGATTTCATATTTTCCTTCTGAAACAATTGGGTGATTACTCTAAGTTTGATTATTCTCGATGTGGATAAACTTTTTTATTTCTGTACCTCAGGTTCAATTTGAAGAAACTCACCTATGACGAGAGGAGGGCTAACCTGATTGAGCGCCTAAATGCTCTTAACGCTGCAGCAGGACAAGACGAAGACGAAGATGAAGACGATGAGTGAAAACACTAGATTGCGCAAGCGATTCTATGCAGTTCTTAGACCTATTAGATCAAAGTTTTGTTACACCCATTCTGGGGAATTTTGGGTTATACTATGTCAGATTTTGAGTTTGGATATTTGTTTTATTCTAAATGCAGATTTTATTTGGCAGTTTCATTTGCTTTCCATTCTCAGGTTTTCTTCCCCAGTGCTTGCTTCTGCACTCATCCTGTGACTGTTGTAAGTCAAGCAGCTTAATTTGTTAACCATAGAGTTCTTTGACATTAATCAAGCAGGGGCACTTATTATTTTGTGTGTTTTTTAGAATGAGAACATTCTGGTGGGTGCGAATCCTTTGAACAGCTATTAGAGGCTGAGCAAAAAAAACATTTTGTTGTGGGGTCCACACAAATGAGACCTTATCCTAAACTAACCAATCAAACTCTATTGCCAATTACATCCTATTCTTCTGCCACAAAAACATGGTCAGAAATATTGGTCTTAAAGTCTGTCAATTCATTTGCAAATGAAGTGCATAGCATCTCACAACACCATGGCACATTCATTAGCCCCAAGATTACCAGCTGCTTCAATCTCAACATCACCAAAGAAGAATGCCCATCTCCCTTCTTGTTTGTATTTCCACAAGGTGTTGTCTTGCCAACAAACCTCTTCTGAAAAAGGTCTAGGGCAAAAGCTCGTCACTCGCAGGTTTGTCGTTAATTAAGGTTGCTTAGTCATATTATTATCGTTATAATGACAGGTTCAATTCGTCGGTAAATTAAGATTACTTAGTTGTGTTATACTGTTATCGTTATCTATAGTTATAAGATTGATGGAACGGGGACTATGGTAACAATGTAGGAGTCTTGCATTGAGCTTGGGAGGCGCGGTGTTGGGATTGAAGGTGGGGGAGAGGGGCGCTAATGCAGCGGCGAGGAGGCCTCCGCCGCCACCAGTAGAGGAGAAGAAGGATCCCAATGTGAGTGGCGTGATGGCGAAAGTGTTGGCTAGCAAGAGAAGGAAAGAGGCCATGAAAGAATCCATGGCAAAGCTAAGAGAGAGAGGGAAGCCTGTTGTTCAGATTCAGGAGCCTTCGTCTGAATAGATGTCTCTGTGCTCAATTCATATATGTTCTCCTAATAACATCTTTAATTCCTCCAAATTCTTGTATCAATTAAAATTCTCTAGAGAAGGGGGATTTAGACCTTGCAAAGAGCCTTAAAGTGTGACAATTACGATTTTATTGCATATGTTTTCTGGAGTCTAGTGTTTTCGTTTCAAATTCCTATTATTATATACAATCTCAAATCAATTTTATTATTATTATCAAGAGAAAAGGGTCAAATAGGTCCTTAAACTTTACCTTAAAAGTCAATTAGACCCCTAAACATTTAAAAAGATCAATTAAACACTCAAACATGTTAAATTGGGTCAATGAAGCCCAAAAATCGGTAAATGACCTGTTATTACAGGTCATTTTAATTCCGACGACGGATTTCGGCTACCGGTGACCAATTCCGGCGACCGACGAGATTTTCCGACCGTCCAGTTGTCTTCCACTGGAGAAGACGACCGGACGGCCGCCTTCTCCATTGGAGAAGGCGGCAGGCGGCCGTCTGCCGCCTTCTCCAGTGTAGAAGACAACCAGATCTGGTCGTCTTCTCCATTGGAGAAGATGACCAGATCTGGTGGTCGTCTTCTCCAATGGAGAAGACGATTGGAGAAGACGACCAGATTTGGTCGTCTTCTCCAATGGAGAAGGCGGCAGACGGCCGCCTGCGCCTTCTCCATTGGAGAAGGCGGCCGTCCGGTCGTCTTCTCCAGTGGAAGACGACCGGACGGCCGAAAAATATCGCCGGAAATTGTCGCCGGTGGCCGGAATTAGTCACCGGTGGTCGGAATCTGACACCGGAATTAAAATGACCTGTAATAACAAGTCATTTACCGATATTAGGGGCCTAATTGACCTTTAAGGTAAAGTTTAGGGGCCTATTTGACCATTTTCTCTATTATCAATGTTGCAGAAGACGCTAGGCGCTAGTCGAGCGTCCGGGGGTGCCTAGGCGCCTCCTAGGCGGTCGAGTAATTCGAAGTCAACTACATATGTTAGATGGTGCTAAAGGCTTTGCGGTCGAGCGACATAACTGTGACCCCTTAAGTGAGAGGTCTCAAGTTCGAACCCTAGTGTGAGGGCATTGACTTTTTGTACTTCAGTAGGAAACATATGTTAGATGGTTAGTATTTACTTTTCGTGCTTTAGTAGGAAACATATGTTAGATAGTTAGTTGAGTACATGGCAAGAGGAGCAACTGAGCAAGCAAAAAATACCACTCGGTTGAGTTGGGCACCAACTAGACGGAGTTAGGTGCCTAGTCGACCGATTAGTTGGCCACCAACTAAAAACCGTCCAGGGCTTAAATTGCCTCGACCTACAGGCGGCCGTGGAGTGAATATTATTTATAAAAAAAAAGCATATGTTAGATGGTTAGTTGAGTACATGGCAAGAGGAGCAACTAAGCAAGCAAAAAATACCACTCGGTTGAGTTGGCCGCCAACTAGACGGAGTTAGGCGCCTAATCGACAACCAACCAAAAATCGTCCAGGGCTGAAATCGCCTCGACCTACGGCCGCCTTGATTGTTTTTTTACCAAACTGATTATAATTTTTTAATTCACAACAATAAAACTCTATAAGTTCATCAATACTCATCAAATATCTCATGCTGAAAACTAAAGAATCCACATTCTTGTAACGAATGAGTGTGATTTGAACTTGAAATATGTTGACCACCAAATCTTCAAATGCACTTATATTCATATATTGTATGAGTGATTTTCACTTTAACTTTTAGGCGATATTTGCTAGGCAAAATAAACAAGAAATAAAATAGTATTCTCTATTTTTATGGAATAGATCTATTCATATGTTTGGTTCACTTTATATGTCATGGAACATAATTCTATAGAATGAGTTATTCTCTCTGCTATAGGAATAGCCATTTCAACGCCTTACGGGACATTTAGTTGGAGGGAGAGAATTACGTGGAAAATGAATTGTAATTTCATGGGACATGAATTACTGAGAATAAAGTGAGAATTTAAATTTCAGTGTTTGGTTTACAGGAATATAATTACTGAGAATTTCAATTTTAATGTTTGGTACACATGAAAATTGAAAGGGAATAAATAGTATAAAGTCCAAATTGGCGTGATCCATGCTTCTTCTTGTTGACGCTTCTGCCAGAAATGAATTCTTGATTTAATCTAGTCCCCCGATGTGCTTCCCTGCAATTTCAGTGCATTGGCGCAGACGCGCAATACACCTTCAATAACATAACAAAATCCTCATTTTTCAAAAAGACAATGATAATAGACATAGTTTCTCATCTATGTTGAATATATATTATAAATTAGGTGTACCGTTTCATCAATACCCAATGTGTGATTCTAATTTAATGACTAAAGTTCATGTTACATTTTATATTGTATTTTTTAATACACTCTAACATATTCATAGTATATGTTTAACAATTATGTCAATTTTAATTGTGATAGGATGAGGTTCAATTCGAACCTAAAACCTTCTTTATAAAAATCAATGAGTAAGTTAAGAATAATTAATAGCGAACGAAACATTCTGTTACTAAAGTTTATAACACTGACGGAATGTAGGGGTATTTAAGAAAAGTAAAAGATATAATAGAGAGTAAAGTAAACAAAAAAAAAATACTAAAATCAAAATAATATGAACCATTCATTTCAATAAACAATTACCAACATTTTATAGTTCTAGTTATAGGTCTAACTTTATTGACATTTATTAGATTTGTATTATTAGGTTTGTATATGTATTGTATGTATATGTAGATAGATAGGTCTGTATATGTAGATTTCATCGTACACATCTAGTCACACGTGGAAATGTCTTTAATTTATTATTTTATTTCCATCCTTGACTCAGACTATTCTTCTCCCGCCAATCAAAACATAAAAGCCAAAAGCGAGGCAAAATAGCATTAGCCACCTTCCACGTGCAATATAGCCTACTTTTATTAGTCTTATATATATAATAATATAGTTTACAAATTGCACAAATGTCTAATCGGTCAATGCGTCAACTATATTATATATTCCTTGCTTTAGTAGTGCTTTGGTTGTTGTTGGTTGTTACAGTAGAATTTTCTCAGTTGTATGGTAATATTTCTTATATATACAAAAAAAAAAAAAAACTTACACCACTAAACGTTTCTTCATCTAATTAATTAATTACTTGAACTACAATATGTTACTTTATTTACAAGTAATTAATAAATATAAACTGTATAATATAGTATTCACAAACTATATATATGCAAAATGCTATTTGCATTATTGCATTGTAAAATTGTAAATACATACTTTCGCCATTAAATTTATATTAATTGATTAGTTGGAAGAAAAAACAAAAGCGATTCATCCATTAAAACCTGGCAGACTAATTTGGGTTCAATCCTCCCAGACTAGTTTGGGTTCAATAAGCTCCTAGTCAGTAGTCACACCCACAAAATTTGATTTTTACGACGTTGAGAAAAGTCTAATCCAACTTTTTAACATGACACACTATTTTATCAAGTGAAAAATTAGTGACAAACTAAACACATTTGATATAATTTATTATTATTATTATAATTTTTTTTTTTGTTGGCATACACCATTCACTATTCTCACAACTATTAAGCTAATTCGGGTTCAATCCTGGTCATGCCCATAGAATTTCTAATGGCTAGTTTTACTGTGGACCATGGTCCAAAACGATGTCGTTTCTTTTGATGACAAGAAACCGCACCTGTTCCGTCCAACTAATTCTATTTTTACTACGTATTTAGTTTTATTTTATATACACTGTAATTTCGTTACATCACAACCAAAGTATTATTTTGATTCAACTACAATTTCATTTGACATTATACGCCCAATATGTAAGATCTGTTATTGAATTTCATTTTATACACACAATAATTTTATTACAACACCACTAAAGTATAATTTTAATTCAACTTCAGTTTCATTTGATAATATACACGCAATATAATATATGAGATCTATTATTCCATTTTATATTAGATATACTATAACTTCATTACAACAGAACTAAAGTATTATTCTAATTCAACTACGATTTTATTTGACAATATACATTCAATATATGAGACATGCTATTCAGTTTAATTTTAGATACACTCTATTTTTATTTTATTCTGAACACATCAAAATACGAAAATAGTTAAATATATCAAACACTGTTTCTTTACTTAGTAAGGACGTCTTTTTTTAACCATGGTCCGCAGAGCTGTGTGGACCATGCATGGTCTAGTGGTCTACGTACAAGAATTGATTTCCAATTAGGTGTGGAAAAAGCAAAGCCCCGCCGCCTGCATCTCCGCTTCCTAGCAGCTTCACCTCTCCCCCTCCATTCTCTATATAATCACTCCATCATCTATCCTCTAATCATTACCAAATTCTTCTTAGCTTAAGCCAGCAAAACCAAAACCTTAATTTCAGTTTAGGAAGCAGTACAGTGCCCGGAGGTTCACTAAAATGGATGAGTATTTTGATCTTGACGCGGTTTTGACAATGCCGGAGCCAGAGAGTTTAAGAGCCGCAGCATGCACGGCGGAGAGGATGTTGGACCACGGCGGCGGCGGTGTTCACAAGATGGTGACGGTGGGCGGCGACGCCAGCGGCGGCATTTGTTCAGTGTGCATGGATGGTTTTGAAGAGGGCGTGGGCGGGAAACAAGTCCCCTGCGGCCATGTTTTCCATGAGAATTGCATCGGAAAGTGGCTCCCTATTCAAAGCTCTTGCCCTCTTTGCCGCTTCCAAATACTTTGATCATATCGGCAAATTAAAACTGCCATTTTTGTCATTATAATTGAATAGCGATTTAGTTCTTTATGAATTTAGTTTTTGTGTGTGATGATATATGTATAATTTTTGTGGGGTGTTAGTCTAATTATTATTATTATTTTTGAAATATTGTTCAATAATTATTTAGTTAACTAATATGTATTCATGTTTAGCACTGTTGACAGATATTCAAAACCTCTGTGCCAGTAGCAGCGAAATAATTATAAAGTAAACAAAGACCGTATTGACACGAAATTAACAGTGACCAAAATCTATTCACGGGTTTAACTCCTTTTTTTTTTTTTTTTTTTTTTTGAGGGAGGGAGGGGGGGGGGGGGGGGGGGGGGGGGGTTCTACAGTTCAGAAAATATATCAACCAACCTTTATTTTCAACAGTTATTTTTTAAGCCT